CTTGGCTTCCAGCAGTGATGGGATTTCAGACATGAGCCACAGCACCTGGTCCCTTTCTGGTTGAAAATTTTCAAGATGAAAAATAATGGCATTGATTTTAGGGAGTCCCTTTACTGTTCCCCCAGCATGTTCATGGTGTGAACTGAGAATGTAGGCTGTCTGGGGCCACAGGATACTGTCATTCTCTTTGCTTAGGGTGGTAAGTGACAAGACATTTTTCCTCAAAGAGGTAGAGCTTGGCTTTCAGGATCCTCAGTGACACTGTCCGGTGGTTCTGGGATTCAATCAAGCAATGGATGAAAATTAATGGGCCAGTGGTCTCCTTCACCCCTCCCTCCTTGGTGTGTGGAAGACATTCTTCCTGGTACCAGCAGCAGCAGAAATATAGATTTGAGGCCACAAAGTGTGGAGTGGAATTGGGGTGAACTGGTAATTTTTCTACCTCTACCAGAGCAAGGATATGGTCCTAGGAGAAGACGAGGTGATTGTGTTTGCTCCGAGACTGATGCGTTTTCCCTGGGTTTGTCTTCTAGAGTGTTTTCCTTGCAAATCCATCAGGATGAGCATCCGGGCCCCACCCAGACTCCTGGAGCTGGCGGGGCAGAGCCTGCTAAGGGACCAGGGCTTGGCCGTCTCTGCCATGGAGGAGCTGCCCAGGGTGCTCTATCTCCCACTCTTCATGGAGGCCTTCAGCAGGAGACACTTCGAGGCTCTGACGGTGATGGTGCAGGCCTGGCCCTTCACCCGCCTGCCTCTGGGATCGCTGATGAAGACGCTTCATCTGGAGACTTTAAAAGCGTTGCTGGAAGGGCTTCATATGGTGCTTACACAGAAGGATCGCCCCAGGTGAGGTGACCCAGGTGGGCTGGTAGATAGGGCTCAGGTGTCCAGGGAAAGAACAGCAAGGTCAGGCTGAGAAGTAGCCCAACGGTGGCCCAGTGTCTTCGGATGGTGCTGGTGAGGAAGCTCAGCGAGGCTTTGGCCATTGTCCAGATCCTCAGGGAAAGGACTGCTCCTCATACAGGGTCCACCATGGGAACAGAAACCTGCCTATTCACAGTGGAAGGCAAAGGGAATACAAGTGGGGACCAGTCAGAATTGAAAGGGAAAAGGGATCGAGAAAGACAGAGAGAGAACAGGGAGCACCGAGGACAGGAGCAGCTGATTAATGGGATGAGAATGAAAGCAAAGGTCAGGGATGGGTCCTTCTAAATTCTGAGCCTCTCCCTTACTTTACCTACAGGAGGTGGAAACTTCAAGTTCTGGATTTGCGGGATGTTGATGAGAATTTCTGGGCTGTACGGCCTGGAGCCTGGGCCCTGTCCTGCTCCCCAGAGGACTGTCCGAGGATGGGAGAGCACCAGCCCTTGAAGGTGTTCATAGACATCTGCCTCAAGGAAATACCTCAGGATGAATGCCTGAGATACCTCTTTCAGTGGGTTTACCAAAGGAGAGGTTTAGTACACCTGTGCTGTAGTAAGCTGGTGAATTATCTAACGCCGATTAAATATCTCAGAAAGTCATTGAAAATAATCCACCTGGATAGTATTCAGGAGCTGGAAATCCGCAACATGTCTTGGCCACGTCTGATAAGAAAGCTTCGTTGTTACCTGAAGGAGATGAAGAATCTTCGCAAACTCATTTTCTCCAGGTGCCATCATTACACGTCAGACAATGACCTCGAGGGACGGTTAGTCGCCAAATTCGGCTCTGTGTTCCTCAGGCTGGAACATCTCCAGTCGCTTAAAATAAAATTGGTCACCTTCCTCAGTGGACACCTGGAACAGCTGATCAGGTGAGAAAGGATTGTGCACTTTTTCTGCGGACCACAGCACAGCCTTGTTTTGTTACAGCAAACACTGGAAGGCATGTACTGTGTGCCAGTCAGTGGCAACGTCACAGTGAAGGGGACACCAGAATGTCAACACATTGTCCCATTCAGGGCTCCGTGTCCTGGAGTGGCTATCACAGGATCGCTCCAATGTGGGCAGCGGGGTCACCTGGCGTAGAGGCTAGAGAGGGACATCATGTACAAGCTAGTTAGTGGGGGTTTCGGCTCTACCGGGGTGCACGTGTGAATTTCTTGTATAAAGTGTGTTTCAAGTTGATATGATATAAAAGAGGTAATAGATGAGGGTATGAAAGGAGGGAAGGTGCATCAAACTTGTGCATGTCACAGTAGAAGCTCTGTCCTCAACAGCTTAGTGATCACGAATGATTCTGTCTCTAATTCCCTGTCTGTAAAAGGTTGTTTTGAACTCCAGGAAAGGTAATTGACATGGGAAATGCCTGCTTCTTGAATGGAGGGTGAGGAAGTAGGCATGAGAGTGGTAAAAAGTGACAGTTGCTTTGCAGATGCAGGCTTGTCCGGGAGCCCCTGCCGGCACATAGCCCTAGCTGATGTCCCTAGACCTTGCTGAATTGAGTTCTTTGTGCACATCTCCCACTGGGTACCTGTGGCCCAGAGATGAAGTTTTCTGCTAAAAGAAACAAGGTTTTAGAGATTTTGTGGCCTTGAACCAATCACACAAGCAATGGTGAAAGGGCTGAGCCTAAAATGGGACTGTCCTGAATGATCAGAGTCCTCATCACGTAGCAACTTGCATACGGTCCATCATCACATGATGGGAATAAACTTGTGTTTGGGTGAAGCAGTCATTTCCCTTGAGGTTATTCCCCACTACCTTCATCTAACTGGTGCCATTGCCCAGAACTAACTTCTTGATCTCCACAGGTGCCTCCAGAACCCCTTGGAGAACTTGGAATTGACTTGTGGCTACCTATTGGAAGAGGACGTGACGTGTCTCTCCCAGTACCCAAGCCTCGGTTACCTGAAGCATCTGAATCTCAGCTACGTGCCGCTGTTCCGCGTCAGTCTTGAGCGCCTCGGAGCTCTGCTAGAGAAAGTTGCTGCCACTCTCGAGACCCTCATCTTGGAGGGCTGTCAGATCCACTACTCCCAACTCAGTGCCATCCTGCCCGGCCTGAGCTGCTGCTCCCAGCTCACCACCTTCTACTTTGGCAGAAATTTCATGTCTGTGGATGCCCTGAAGGACCTGCTGCGCCACACCAGTGGGCTGAGCAAGTTAAGCCTGGAGACGTATCCCGCCCCTGACGAGAGTTTGAATTCCTTGGTTCGTGTCGATTGGGAGATCTTCACTCTGCTTCGGGCTGAGCTGATGCGGACACTGAGGGAAGTCAGGCAGCCCAGAAGGATCTTCATTGGCCCCACCCCCTGCCCTTCCTGCGGCTCATCACCGTCTGAGGAACTGGAGCTCCATCTTTGCTGCTAGGGAAGGCGTGCCTAGCAGGGTAGATCCATCCAAAGTTCTCTTCCAGGCTCTTGGACACTAAAATCTAGTATGTACGTGCAAGTTAGTTTTTTTTTTTTTTTCTTATTTACTTTTTTAATAATTCTAAAATTTTATTAAAGAAAATTTGAGACAGGATTTTGCTGTGTTGTACCAGCGGGTCTCAAACTGCTGGGTGCATGGGATTCTCCTGCCTCAGTCTCCTAAAGTGCTGGGATTACTGGCATGAATGACTGTGACCAGGCCACATGCAACTTACAGGAAGCACAGAACTCTTTGCTTCAGGCAAGTGCTCACTGCGAGGGAAAAAACATAACAGCAGGGGGCAAGACTGGAGGAAAATGTTGAGGTAGAGTCAATGAGACCTTCCGGGACCCGTGTCCTGCAGAGTCAGAAAGAGAAGCTAAAGTTCTACGGTGATGAGCATGTTATCCCTGCAAGGATGGTTACCCAGAAATATCAGAAATAAAGAACCTCAATGAAAACTTTCTGGTGTCCTCTGCATTTGATTGACTTGTTTTAGTGATTTATACATCAGAAATATCTAGCTATTTAGTGATTGATGGAAAAATAACGAAGTACTCTGTCATCTGTGATTCAGGTTGAGTTGCAGAACATCTAACTCCCGCCCATTCTTGTTCTTTGCTTTTTTTTTTTTTTTTTTTTAGCTTACGATATCTTTCTGAATGTATAAATCACTAAAACAAGTCAATCAATGCAGAGGACACCAGAAGTTTTCATTGAGGTTCTTTATTTCTTGATATTTCTGGGTAACCATCCTTGCAGGG